CAGGGCCTAAAGGCACTGTCATAACAGCAGTGGTGGCAGCTAGGGAAGCTGGAACACCCTTCAGGAGCCCTCCTTGGCATCTGCATGGGTTCCAAGCTCCTGGATGTCCTTCCTGCTGGAAGCAAATCCAAACATACTCAGCTACCCCTTGAAGGCAGAACTGACTTAGACAAGTCTGAGGCGAAACCTTTGGCTTCTGTCTGCCTTTCAAACAGCTGTTGGGTCTTCAGAGACCTGGCTGCTCAAAGTGTCCCATACAGTGCTGTCTGGGTCCCAGCAACATTAAAATCCTCAGGAGGGCAGTCTTAGGAGTTTTCTGTACTCGCTTTCCAGATGGGTGTAATTTTGTGCCACTCCTGGCCATGATTTGTCTGTGTGGGGCTTCTGGGGAGAGCTGCACTGTGAGGGGTATGAAGAAAGGGTGGGGAGGCCTTCCTCATCAGTGTTTCTTCTTGGAGAAAATGTTAGCCCAGCGCTTGTCAGGTGTCAACATGGTTGTTGTGGCTGAAGTTCCTCAAAGACGTCATTCTGGGACTGCTGTTCCTCAGCATCTGCATTTGAGACTCTAGTGCTGCACATAAACAGGATACAGGCAGAATGTGGCCCAACGTTTACAATATTTTTCCTCCCCCAGGACAGGAGAGCAGCCTGCAAGGCACTGACAGCTGTTGCAACTTAAGAGGCATACTAGAAAAGGACAAATAAATCTAGAAAAGGGTAAATAAACTAACAGTAATCCCTTGTGAATGTTTTATTCCTATTTTATTTTAGTAGTACTTGGTTATGTAGAAATCTGGCTTGTGGTAAATGTCTTTGAAGTTGGGGAGGGACAGTTTTCTGGAAAGAACATGAACTGATTTGTAATGTTTTGTAGACTTCAGTCATGTTCTTACAGTCCGTCTCACAATATTTATAAACTAAAAAAGTATGATAAATGGGCAGCCAATTCAGTGATGTTCAGCCTTTGAAAAAAACCCCCACCCCTTTTTTTTTGGCTGGGGGAGGGGAACAGCAAATGTGCTGGGCTGGAGTTCAGTTGTTGTACCATCAATGTCTGCATAATTTTTTCCTGGATTGTGATTTGCAAGATGTCCTCACTTAAAGCAGTCCAGTGAAAGTTAAAATTAATTCTTTTTCACATCTTTTAAGGATGTGAGGGAAATGTAGCAACACTGAACAACATTATTTATTTTTTTTTGGTCATTCTTTGTAAGAAGCACAGTGAATTTCTACAGAAATATGAGTTTCAGGGGTGGTTGACTAGTGGTTGCTGAGCTGTTACTCTTCTTGGCTATGAGAAGATACATGTACCCATAGGTACATGTACATGCATGCCTGCAGCAGTATGAATGCAAAGGTATTCCTGAAGCTGGGAAGGAACCTGGTGCAGCCAGTCCTTACTGTCAATCTTGAGCTATGTTGCCTGGTGTTTTGTGTCAAATTCACTTCTGAAATCTGCTTTCAGAAGTCAAAAACTCCAATACAGAAAATTGCACGGGCTTCTCACGTACACAAGTGACTTTGAAACTAGAGTAAAACCTGTTCTATTAGAAGCAATGCTGGAAGTTCTCACTCATATTTTAGTTACTGTGATTAACTGTGAGTAGAGCCAGAGCCTGAACCTCTTGTTCTCCAAGTCTACCATCTTAAAAACTTTCTGTAGGGCTCTGTAGAACTTCGGTGTTAATTCCATACTAATGAAATATTACTGGAGTTTTGTTGGTTTTTTACCATCTTAACTGCATTACAACACTAGCAACAAATATTTTAGTTTTTTAACTCTTGCTTTGGAAGCACTAATCTTAAAATCATTTAAGAAATGCTGTAGTTATGGTTTTGTGGCCTTGTTGTTCATAAATAATACTGAGAAGGTTTTTCTGTACTCACAGGGAGGTACTAGTGCTTACCCAGAAGAAGGTTAGGAGATTAGTTATGATTCTCTAACAGGTTTGTCTACAGTTATAGGCTCTACCTTTTGTGAATTGTGATTTGCAGACTGGATTTAAATATTTTTTTAGTGTATAAAATTGTTAATTACTTAAAAATAAACCTTAGTTCAAAGTCTGAAAATTCCGTGGCCCAAGCAGTGTGGGAACTTGTGCTGGGAGAGTATGATCAGTGCCTGTGAAGTCTGTGCTTTTTTATTTGCTTATTAGTTTGCCTCTAGGCCCTTCTGCTTTCAAGGGAAGCGTTTTAAATATCAACCAAGTTTTTCATACCCTCCAGGCAGGCTAATCCATCTCTTGTATGGGTGCTAAAAATTTGCCCAGCCTTTGGCAGGGCGAAAACTAAGTGTGGTCTTCTTGGGTTTGTGCAGTTCTATTGCAGTTGTGTAAACACAATTAAAAAGGAAAATTATTGAATCGATATTGTGCAAGAGGTAGCTCATTTAGCATGGAATTTCAATGTGTTTCATCACACATTTGCACTCACCTTCATGTGCTGCAGCGTGGGCCTTCCAGATTGTCCGTGTCCCCAGTGCTGGAGGTGACTGACTTGCTTGTCCTCAGTCACTTTTTCAGACTGCTTGGGGGGGGGGGGGGAGTGATTTCCAAGCTTTTCAGTTAAACCATCAACTTGTGGGACTGCTGAGGCTAGAGATGCAACTTATTGATGAGGAGGCACTTGGAGAAGCTCCTCTGGATCTATTCAAAGTGAAAATCCAAGTGGAGTGGAACATGTAGATGAAGGCAAAATGTAGTTGAGTGCTCATCTGATGTGGAAGTACTTCACTGGAAAGGCTGCATTCCCTTCTGTGGTGACTGTTTTCTGAAGATTGGCAAAAAGTCTGTCACAGTCCAAATACATTGAAAAATTACTTTAATCCAAGACTGTTTAATTGACCTATGTCAGATCACTGAACTTCCAAGGCCATACATGTAGTCCTGCTGTATTCATTGCAGTGTGAAGTAGTTTTTCTGAGTTTTTTTTTCTTCTTTTTTTTTTTTCTTCTGTTAGAAATACCTGTGATTTAGGTACATTAGTTAAAGGGAGAATACAGCAGCTCTGGTCTGAGAATGCAGGGCTCTGTCTAACATTTAACTGAACAGCAAGGGTGAAGCTTGCATTCACTAAAACTGAAAAGCAATTATCTGTGACTAGGGTCAGTTTTCAGACAATTAAAAACCAAGCTAATTTTTATTACTGTTCAGTCTCAATTTTCAGCTAAATTAAGACAGTGAGCAAGTCCTGTACTTCTCTTGTATGCCAAAAATAACAAATGAGAGGCTTCTGCAAGGATGAGTTTCATTTTGTCTCCTTTAGCAATTTATACATGTAAAATATATGGCAGCCTGAATACCCTCTGCTCTCCTTGGTTTTATTTTTATCTTTAGTACCACCTAATGAGCTATGAGAAATTAAGTTCCTAGATAGTCCTGTTGGCTGCTCTCCATGGCAGAATATTAGTGCAATACTGTTGCCTCCAGTAGTAGTTAGAACACTTTATTTTTCTTTTAAATGTGACATTAAAAATCAGCAACATGTTTTTTGTGTTTTTTTTAAATGTACTCTCCTCTGTCTCTTATTTGAAATGTGTTAGTGAATGGCAGGGATACAACATTGGTTCATATAGCAGTGATGTACTCTGAGATTGTCTTCATTAGTGGCATCCTAAATAGCTTCCTTTACAGTTAATCTTATTTGTTTTATATTTATTGAAATGTCAGGTAGCTAACTAATTTGCTGATATTGCCACTATTTGTAAATGAAACTTACATGGCAGCTTCAGCTATTCTTTCAAATTTACCCCAGTACTTGGGCTGACTGTTTGCAGCCAAAACCCACTAATGGAGGTGATCCCTTGGCTCTAGTAGTCCTATTTTTCCTCCACTTTCCCCTTTTGCTGATATGGGGCTGCTTGGGTGTCTTATCTACTGAGACAGGCTGCTGCTCCAACAGGCTCTGGATACTTTTCATCCTGTGAGCTACAGAAACTGTAATTAAAAATCTAAAGAAGATAGCCTGATATAAACTTGTTTAAGAAAGCAAGTAGTCAGTATCTGATATTTGAGTCATTGTTTCAGTTATTTATTGGAATAATAGGAACTTTCTTCTCATGCTGGACCTGAATTGTCTATCAAGAGTGTGTTCTTCAATGTGGGATTATGCCCTTATGTAAGAGATGAGAGCATTGAGGTGGCATTTCTGGAATTACAGGAATGTACAATATAAAGTAGGTCCTTAAACTGTGGCTTTAAGATGATTGTTTTGTAGGCAGGAAACTTGTAAGCCTGATTTAGGACAATTGATTTTCAGGAGTGGCAATGTATTTTGCCTGTAGTGATATTAAGGCTTTGTGCTGGATGCTTTCCATGGGTTCTTAGTTTTGGTCAATGTTGCAAGCTGAGGCTTTGAAAGAGAAACTACCTGATTTTCCTGCCAGGCCAGAGGAGGAGATGTTTCTGCTCTGATTTATGTTTTGGGGTATCTCGATGTGATCTTCACCCACAGGTTGTGTTCTGTAGAACATCTGTTCAAGAGCATGATTGTTCATGTAGTCAGGAAGGGTTCTGGACATGAAAGAAAACTAAAGCCACATTGGCACAGGAGTGCCTAGGGACTGTTTTGAGTTGCTCACCATGGTCAAGGTACTGTTAATAAGCTAGTGAATGTTAATCTTGTTCAAAAAATACAAAGCTTGCTTACAAGAGGGAGCAAGAAACAGAAGCAGCATGGATAGTAAGTCTTTAATCACCTGAAATTAGCACAAACATCTCCAGAAGTCCCTGCTCAATAAAACTCCACTGTTGGTGAAACTAAGTATGCCTTGAAATTATTTGGAGTTTAGTAAGTCTGCCTAAACTGACTTATGAAATTATTTTAGAAATGAGGCTGGAAAATCTGTTAAGTATTGGTAGTTTTATTAAAACTGTAGTGATTTTCTACAGATGGTGAAAATTCATTTTCTGAATATAGATAATGATCAAAAGTTGGGATGATCTAATATTTGTTTGGTATTGTCTGATTGCTTTTCCTTGTATTTTCTTTTTAATAGTGATCACATGGAAAATATTTATGGCTACTTAATGAAATATACCAATCTTGTCACTGGTTGGCAATATAGGTAAGTCTTCTACAATGCTTTTTAGTGATGTTGGTCTTTGCAGCATCTGAATGAACATATTCCAGATTTTATTATTACTACTTGGATTTCCTATTTTCTATTAAGCAAACTGTTGTTCTCAGTATAGATGAAACTAACATGTAGATGAATAATATTTGTATTAAAGCAAGAATAGTTTGTAGTAAGTGTGAAGCTTTTAACTTATTTGAAGGCTTTTTTTATCCTTCTACATTAAAAATGTTGTATTTGTTTTTTTTCTGCTGAATCTCCAGCTTTATACCAAATCATGCCATCATTGTTGGGTTTTTTTGTTATAAATAATTAAGACTTCCTTATAAAAAATTCACAATCAAGCCAGCTTTTCCCTTTAGTCACCCAAGATGTCTGTCTCCCCTGGAATAACTTGCTTTTCTCTGACAGGTGAAACTCTGAAGTTGCTTGTTTGATGCTTTCTCTAGAGCAGCACAGTGCAGCCAAATGACTGTTGGAGGAACAAGGCCTTAGCATTCCACACTGGCCAAATTCCTGTGCTGCCACTGGCATGCAGTGACTTGTGTCAATACACTTACTGTTGAATTCTGTTGAACAGTTGAAGCATCATGTCCACTTGAATTTTTAAAAAATCTGCAATTGCTGCAGTCTCACAGTTTTATTTCTCAACTGATTTGTATCTGGGGATATTTTATCCTTAAATTGTCTAGTTTAAGGACCTGTTAAGCCTTTGAGAGTCAAGATATTCTTTTGATTCCCAAAATCTTGCAATAACACTCTTCTGTGGGCACAAGTGTTCTGTTGTGCAGTTGAGGGTGTCTCAGAAAAAAATGGTAAGAACTCAATTTTTGTGCAGTTGGGGACTTAGTTCATATGTTTGGGGTTGTACTGACTCAAAGTCTTTCAGTTCTAACCCCATTCTGCCACCTTGCAATGGAAGTCTTGACTTCTCCTTGTATCACCACCCCCACCTCTCAGCATCCCCCCCCCCAAAAAAGTGCTGCTTTTATTTAGTGTGTTTGCTTTGTTATCATTGCAGATTTTTTGTTTTAAATAATGATGCTGGCCTGCTGGAGTACTTTGTGAATGAGCAGTCAAGACATCTAAAGCCCAGGGGTACCTTGCAGCTAGCTGGAGCTGTAATTTCACCCAGTGATGAAGACTCTCACACCTTTACAGTGAATGCTGCCAGTGGGGAGCAGTATAAACTAAGAGGTAGGACCTGGATTGATGGGCAAGGAATTCTTCCACTAGATGACACTCCTGGCTTTTACCTGTAGCTGCTCTACTGGGATTGGCAGCAGGTCCAGAGCAAGAAAACTTGTTTGGCAGAGTGCTGCAATGAGAGTTATTTCATCCTGCTCTTCAGTTAGGAACTGTACTTCTTTGTGGATGGTTCCATACTCTTTGGCTTTAGTGACTTTCAGAAGACTATGAACTTCAGATGTGTAGAATGGGGGTTAATTTTCAAGTATAGTGTCCTTAAATTGTACTGATTTGAAGTTTTCTAAATCGTTGTAGGTAAGAGCATGGTGTTGATGCTTAGGGAGGACTACATAATTCCTGATGTTCAGTTCATTAGCCTTCTTGTGGTGCTTACAGAAGCCTGTTTTCTGATTTTGTAAACTTTGGAAATCTGGGTTAATGTCTTACGGTGTTTCTTTCCTTGAACACTGGCTGTCATTGTCTAATTCAGGGTACCTTACTCTTATTCCAGGCAAATGTCATGCTGTTGGATTAAAATCTGTGGGAGGGTTATTGTTGTTTGTTGAAGTTATGTCTGTTACAAAATTACAGACAAAGAAAGTACATGCCATTTATGTTGAACTTGATTCAATGTTGTAGTTAATTGCAGATTAGCTAAACAAGTTTAGACTGTGAAAAAAAAATGCCTTTGCACTGCTAAAGCCTGGTGATTGAAAGAATGAAGCATTCTTTTTTGCCCATACGTTGAGATGTCTTCATGTCCATAATCCTTTTGGTTTGCTCCTACCAGCTACTGATGCTAAGGAGCGGCAGCACTGGGTTAGCAGGCTACAGATCTGCACACAGCATCACACGGAAGCTATTGGAAAGGTAACGTATCACTGGTGTTTTTGTGGGCAAAAGTATCTTCATCTTGTGGTAGAAGCAGTTGTAAATACAACTATCCTGTTGTCTGAACAGAGTACTACAAAAAAGTGTGTGGTTGGGCTTGAAACTTACATTCAGAAATGTTTTTCTGAATGATATGTAATGGAAAGATACTTTAGGAATGAGACAATTAAGTCCATTAATGGTCCTCCCTGGGTAGGTACTGGTGAGCTGGTGTGTGAACAGGAGGGAGAGCTGAGAGATGAGAGTATTAGCCCAGTATTTTATATTTAGTTTTGCATTTTTTAATGGATAAGGAAACAGGTCATCAGTGTTATTGATGCTTTTCCATTTTGGGAGATTTACTTTTTTTTTTAAACCTTTCTTAATTTTTATTTAAAAAACAACACAACACTCAACATTGCACAAATACTTACAGGATGAATTCCCATGTTTGAGAAGCAAGTCCTCAACACTATATGTGAGGTCTGTTGCTTCTGTTTGCTAACCATTTGGTGGCTGTGAATATAGTGTAATTTATAGAACTGCCTGATGACCATAACACCTGTTTTGAGATCAACATCTTATAGCTGCCTTTGTTGTAAGAGATAAATTAGTAGTTCTAAATGAAATTCCATTCTCTTAAATGTGAACTCTATCCGTGCAGGATCTGTTAGGGGTCAGCTTTTAGTACTGGTGCAAATCAAGGACTAATTTTCCAGTCAGAAATGATACATATTGTTCAATCTCATTTCACAGATTGTTTATAATTAGACTACAAAACAAGGCAACTGTCAGGAGATAGTGCAAAATATTTATTTAGCAGTTGCTACTAAAACATTATTAGGGCTTTGTCATCTGTCCTTGGTCTATAAAAAATCCAGGATTAAACTGTTCTGTGGTATCTTTCAAATCAGAATATTTGGTGGTTATTAGAAATGAATTGTAAATATTTTTCAATATGTTATTTATTCACTAGAACAACCCTCCTCTGAAATCTCGCAGCTTCTCTCTTGCGTCCCAAGGAAGTGCCAGCTCTCCTGGTGTGCAAAGAAGACCCAGTCAAAATGCAGTTTCCTTTTTCAATGTTGGACATCACAGATTGCCAACTGGAAAAAGAGTTCCCATTATGCAGCCAGATCACCTTGTAGATGTTAGAGAGGTTTGTACGCCTTAAATTATCTTACAGTATTTTGAAAGAGCTGTCCTACAATTGGTGGGATTGGGGAGAAACACACTCTTCTTATTTTGGATGTATTGTCAATAGCCTGTCCTAAGCTCTTACTGCATAGCAGTGTGAGGATAAGTAACTTGCCTTGGCTCATTGTACAAGTATAGGGTGTGTATTCCATGACTTCTGTACTCTGAAATAATATCCTGATGCTTAAGGTAGAATTTTGCCTGTTCTCACCCTAGCAAGTCCTAGCACTACAGTTGACAAGGAAATTATGTCCTTGAGGAAGTATAGCATCCCATGCTGTGACATTGTTATGCCATACGCTGTTTTCTCCCTGTGTCAAGCTATAGAAGACTTGACTAAGCTGTACTTGGATCTCCTGTGAGTAAGGAGAAATTGGTCATCATTGAGGTTTAAGAATACTAATGCAACTTTCTGGTGTGCTAATTTATGTGCACAAATTCTCTAGGGATGGATGTGATTTGAAAAGAGCAAAATAAAATGAACAATTCAGAAGTATGTTTTTATTATACACATTCAGGTGTATTTTGGAAAAAACAAATATTTTTTCATTTAATTACTTTTCATCTTGACTGTCAGAATAGACAGTCAAGTTGATTTAACTTGTGAATATTTACAGGGTAGATCATACAAATCTAAGACAGTTAGTTTCTGAATTATAAATCTGTCTTAATATTGATACTAATATTTTAATGTTAACAGTGTAGTTAGTGTAGTGTGATACATTTCTTGCCAAAAATAAGTTTATAGTGGAGGACTTTTTAATTTAGCAAATAAGAATCTAGGAAACAGGAATAGTAAAAAAATAAACTGGGATGGAAGAGTGCTCTGTATTCTGTGTCATTAGCCTTAAAATATGTGGTTGAGCCCTGTGGTTCATCAGTAGGAAGCTATAAATGAGTATTGAAAATACATGCCCTGGTATGTTGCCATAGTTGTTCTTCCTTGATTTAAATCAAGTGCTGTGGCATAATTATTCAGTCAGCTAGATGAGGTGACTGCCTCTTTAGATCTTAGAATCTGTGAGTCTCTGCCCACAGCAGACTGTTCTTGCAAATGCCTAACAAAAGGGTAAGTGTTGCCATCCTGGTTATATCCTCTAGTAACAGTCAAGTCTCTTATAGTGCTTATGCAAATATATGTGAAGTCTTGTCAGGTACCCAGGATAACTTCAGCTGGCACCCTGTGGCTTCTGTTTTTTATGAACTAGTTCATCTGCTTTATCCTCTGAAAGAACTTACTCATCCAAACAAATTGTCAGACTGAAACTATACAGGTAGTTTTCAGTTTGATTCATCGAGTTACATCTTGTGGTAAACTTCTTGCTAGTGTGGTACAACAATTACAACCTATGGTACAGTTAAATAATATTTCCACTTTTGTACCTATTGCATGAAAACAGCAACAGTACAGAACATGGCATGAACATTTACAGAACTCATGCTTATTCTCTTAGCAGTTTTTCTTTCTTTTATCTGTTGTATTTTGGTGTTTGAGGAGTGATACGTTTATGTGAGATAATGTTTCAGAAATGGCTTTTTCACTTTTTGACTCTTAAAATGGCAATAAGGCATCCAAAATTTGAGGGAGGAAAGAGGAGAGTGTGTGAGCTGGAGCACTTAGGAAGCAGCACCTTTATGCTTTAATTGGGATTCTCACTGGGTGGGAAATAAAGTGGAGTGTTTTTTCCTGGCACTGCAAAGAGCACAGAAAACTATTTGTATTTGCTTGTTGTTTAGTTAGGTGACACAGCATGGTTATTTTTCCCCCTGTTCATATCAACCAAGCATGAAAGTATTTGATATTTACTGCAGCAAGTATCATGTTCAAATTCCCCTTTGCTTTTTTTGATTTTGAAGTAAGTTTGATACTTTTTTGCTTGTTAATAAGGTACCATGTATTGCTGTGGGAATTTCATCATGCATTCAGTGATTCTTTAGCTGCATCAAGAAAAAAACAGTACACTTAACTGTACAATATCTTTTACCTTTTAGTTTTATTATCATCATAAGTTTGGAACTTCTCTGTACACAGCTAAACGTGTTCCACCAGACACACTTCCATCACCTGATAAATGACTGTTTTGTTTGACAGATGATGTCTCAGGCTGAAGGCCAGCAGAGAGACTTGATCAGGAGCATAGAATGCCTTCCTGCCTCCGGTCACCTTACATCCTTGGATCAAGACCTATTAATGCTGAAAGCAACTTCTATGGCAACCATGAACTGCCTAAACGACTGTTTCCATATTCTCCAGTTACAACATGCTTCTCAACAAAAGGGATCCTTACCAGCAGGTGGGTATAGATGCTCACAAAGAGCAGAGGCCTTTAACAAATACAAATCCTGCCCTTCTTGCAAAAATACAAGTTGCAGTAAATCCAGTTTCATGTGGGTAGGGAAAACTGCTGGCTGCCTGGTTTCTTGTGAGTTTTTCTGGAGTCCAACTTGGTAGTGTTGGGTAGAACTTATGCATATTGTGTTTTCTATTTATTTATTGTTTTCTCTATCAAGAAGTCTCTGGCAGCAGCTGCATAAATGTAATATTTAATTGTTGGAAGCTTCTCACAGTGGAAGAAAGTAAATAAGGCACCACAAGAAAAGGGCTGCCTTTGGGAGGTAACAGGAGGTATCAGTATTATTGTTGAGTTAACATCCTAGTCTGCTCAGGAGCAGTAATTGTGGAAGGGGACTTTTATGGGATTGCAGATACATACAAGGATATGTGCTGTCCAGCACAGCTCTGTCAAATGTCCTGCTTTTATTTCTGTGCACACTAAATACCTATTATAATAATTTACATGTGTATAGCATTCATTTCTAGTTAAGCATTGAAATACAAAGTTCTAGATTTGCACAGGTTATTTTTAATACTGTTTACATATCAGTATTATTGTTGAGTTAACATCCTAGTCTAAAACATGGGCTAAATGTTGCATTCTGTTCTGAGGCCAGAAAAGACCAGTAAGCAAGTGCAAATTGGTTAAAGGTTAAAAAAACAAACACAATTTTTTTTGTATAAATAACCAACCTCCCGACTAACAAACAAAAACCCCCTGCATATCCCAAACCCCACTGCTAGATGGGTGTGGAAGGACATGCAGTTACAGACAGCAGACAAATATATTGCTCTATCTGCACAATTGATTTCTTCCATGCAAGCAGGGAGTTACCAGAGTTGTTCCTCCTGATTTGTGTACAGTGTATGGAACTGAACATATGCTTTCCTGTTTCTAAATTCTTCTGCATCTTATTGTGATTTTTTTCCCCCATATGTTTACTTTGTGGCTCTTTATGAGCAAAAAGCTTTTTAGGATTCTCAAATGCTTTTCTTGTACAGCAGATATGGTAAGTATGTAACAAAGTGCGCTCAAGTTTGTCTCTGACCTTATCTTTCCCATATTCCAATCATATTTGTGGTACTTGCTTTACCAGTGCGTATTATTTTGGAGCTATAATTAATTTAGCCTGTGATGAAAAAAGATGTTGTATAAAAGTATTAAGACTATATAAAAATAGATTGTCATTTGTAAATAACAACAGGCATTAAAAGATAATATGTGAATAGGATTAATTTTTCTAAATGTATTTCAGTTGAAAATTTCATTTTAAAAATGAAAAACTGAATGGCACCTCTCCAAGTTTTGTCTGAACTCTGAATTTACTCACAGTGAGAGAACTCTGCCTAATCCCTGTGAATTTTTTAAACTATCAATGCATAACTGTGGGAGGTGCACAGCAGAGCTCCTTTTGTATTGGCATTTTTGCATGTGTGCAACTAAGGTGGGGTTTTTGACTCATTGCTGAATCTGAGGAAATAAGAAGGGCCCAGTGAGCACCAGTGTAACAAATGATGGCAAGATATGGGGAGGTTTTTTGAGTGGTTTTATTGTTTTTAAAATTTTTAAGTTACACAGGGAAAAGCTCAATTCCTCAGCCTGTTAATGGCCAAATCTAAAAACATAGCTAGAAGATGTCCAAATATTGAAGATATGTGGTGACATCCTAGAAGGGTGGAAAGGGGAGGAACAGAAGACTGGGATCTATTACCAGTGCCAGAGTTAAAACCAGGCCTTTAAAAGAGTGTATGCACCTTTCTGCAGCCTTCTGCTTTCCT